ATACATACAAGACTAAATAAAAAATAAGCAATTCCGCCATTATATATGTATATGTGCTTTTTCAGTTATATATAAATACACAGCTCAATCAGCAGCGTCAGTTCAGCTGTTGAAAAAAAACCGGCGCTCTAACTCTCCCCTCTGCGTGACTCATTTGAACGTCTTTTCATTCATACATTCATTTGGGCTTCTTGTAAACCTTGGGCATGTGACTCCATCTTCTTTACCGTCTTCTACACTCTTGTCTTCTTTTGGCGCGGTGGTAATGTTTGAATTAATCATAGACTGTAAATATTAATCAATGCATGAGTTCGTAAACTTCTTCTTGACCTGAGCACATGAGGCGAGAGAGCGCCAGGATGCAGCCATACCTGACTCCTTTTGATTCCATTTGATTGATGAATCAGATTTAATCATCATCTTTTACTTTATTTAAGTTCTGTTTTGTTTTCACTCTTCTTTTGTTTTTAAGTTTTGAATTTGATCTTACTTTTGCAAATCTTGGTTTTGAAGGCTTCGCTTTTAAAGCTCTATGTTAATTTTATTTTGAAACGTTCTCCTCAGATTTCACTTCACAGCTCTTTAAACTGACAAGAAAGTTTGATCTGGTTATATGTAAGAACATTAATGCAGGACATAAATAACCTTGTGTCTCAGTGTTGTCCTCACCTGTCGGCCCACCTCACTGTTGTGTTGGTTCATCATGCTCGGCGTGTACCCTCCTCGAGTCATCGACGTGTTTTTCGCGGCGTTGTCGATGAACCTGCGGCTGAACCAGGTCCCGTACTGGATGTGGTCCGAACAGCCGCCCCAGTGCCAGCCGTCTGTTGACAAGCCGCCGTCTTGAAGCTGAGCATCGCAGCCGCACTCCGTCATGTTCCCCTGACTGCAGGAACGCGTGACGGCGTGGACCAGCCCCGCTGCCATCACCCCGTAGATAAACGCCGTCTCTTTGGTCCCTGCGGGGAGAGAGGGATGGGGTCAGTGTAACATGTTATTCTAGCAGACTCTTTTATCCAAAGCGACGTACATCAGAGAGTAAGAACAACACAAGCAAGGATCTAGAAAAAAGGGAACAATGTGAGTAAGAGCAAACGATCAGCTTTGAGTCTGATTGGACACACAGGTGCTGACAGGAAGTGACCAGAGGCAAAGCACAACATTGAGGGCAGTTCTTGAGAGCTCTAATCAGTATAGAAACCATCTTATAAGTCATCGTTATCAAACCATCGTCATTAACATCATCATCATCAATAATATGGAGACCATCATCATTAAGTTAGTAGGTATTCATGAAAGAGCTGGGTCTTTAGCTTTTTCTTAAAGGTGCAGAGGGACTCTGCAGATCACATGGAGTTTGGAAGTTCATTCCACCACTGGGTGGTATGACATGTATCACATTTAGGGTCTTTGTGGGCGTGTTTAGCTTGATCAGTCGTCATGGAGATGGCTCTTTTGTAAACCATGAAAGGTGATTAAAGCCACAGAAACAATCAGGAAGAGGCATTTTCAGCCCTCACAGGTAGCTGCAGCTGGACAGGCATTCTCCCTTTACTCACTTTTCCAAATGTTGCCAACATATTTGTGCAATTTAAAAAGTGTTGACCCTGACCCTGGTTGAAAATATGATATTGTATCATTTCAAAGTGTGTGGTAACATAAAACTATCATTGGAGTAAAATGCAGCCGACCTTAAAGAGCCCATATTCTGCCCTTTTTGGGGTTTGTATATTTAATCTATGTTCCTACTTTTGTACGTTCACAATAGATAAAGTCCGAAAAAAGTGTCTGTTTTCATGTACTGCTCCTCCTTGCTCCCTCTCTGCTCTGAGTCCGTCAGCTACACTCTGTTGAGCCCACACTGTTAGACCCCACGTGGGCCAAGTCTGCTCTGATTGGTCTGCCGATCCGCTCTGTCGTTATTGGTCAGTTGCTCAGCACGCTTCTCGGAAATGTCCCGCCTCTTTTACCATACTGGGAATGCAGCCACTGGCTCCGTCCGAGGGGAGCATAAACATTAGCATCTTAGCACTACTGTGCTACCGCAGGCTACGGCATATCGTGGGCGTGCTACAGGAGTTAATGGGCGTGCAACATGAGCTGCAGGACTTGCCACAACGAGCCAATGGGCTTAGATCAGTGATCTCACACTGACAATGACGTCGGACTGACACATTTTTATGGAGGGGGGCTAGAACTGAGTGTTACATGCGGCTAATGCTACAGCTAACAGGAGGACGTAGGAGAAGCCGCGTTTCCGCAGACTTTGAATTTTTGCACATAGATGAGCCTAAACATGCACAGGACACTTGGAAAACACACTAAAGAGCATATAAAACCAGAAAAAGTATAATATGGGACCTTTAATAAAAATCTTTTAATGGTCTCAGGTAAGCTTTGAGTATGAATCATATGAAACAGGGTCCGAGTCCTCACCGCTGGTCAGCTCGTGTCCAAACACGGGCGGCCGCTCGCTGGTGGAGCAGTTCCACCTCTCGTGTCTGAACTGACTCTGGCACTCGGACACGGCGAGTCGGGCTCCGTCCTGGATGCTGGGCAGCAGGAACGGTTTCTTCCGGCACAGCTCTCTCTGTTTGTGGCTCAGAGGGAGGTTAGCACAGCCCTGCTTCTCCGGGACCCCCGTCGAGGTCACACCCAGCCACCTGAGAGAGACACCGGTTAGAAATCACCAAACCTCATTCAAAAAAATATTCAGGATTGAAAGACATTTTTCCTCTCAGAGTCTAAAATAATAACTCAAACTATAAGGAGAAGGCTGAGTTCCTACTATGATATAATCACACAATTAAAAATGTTATCTTAAATCTTCAGCCAGAGAGGGAGAGATTGTAAAAGTGAATAATTCATTTTTAAAGAGTCACTTTGTTGGAAACAGACAAATCAAAAGACAAAGGATTTTAAAGCTGCAGAGGATATATTATATTTAAGACATGGAAGCAGATTCTACAGGATGTCGATGTTTTAGCTCGGCTGTTTGAACAACTGATTCCCAGATATGACTCATAGATTGTTCTATTTTAATCAAAATGCTGTGCTTTGTAAATTGTACTTTGTCTCTCTTTGTGTTTCCGTCTGTAACTTTGTGTTTTTGCTGCTGCTGTCTCGACCAGATCTCCCTTGAAAAAGAGGTTTTTAATCTCAATGGGACCAACCTGGTTAAATAAAGGTTAAATAAAATAAAATACATTTTACATGATATATCAGGTCCTTTAACCATAATTAAATAATCGATTTATCTACCATTGTATCTCCCCTCAGAAAAGGACTTTTTATGTTATAAAATCATGAATTTTAGACTTGTTTTTTGATAGACTTTTGGACTTTTAATACAAACCGTAATAAAAAACGAGGCCCAACATGTGCAACGAATTATTCACAGGGCTTCACAATTTAGGATGATAAACTGACCTAAAGCAGGAGTTGCAGAGGAGTCAAATTCAGTTAAAAAAAAAAAAAAGATTTTAAAAGGAATCAGCGCACAGAAATATCACTGAACCAAGACCAACACAATAAATCATTTAAAAATAAAGCCTATACTTCATCTCAATGTTATTTCGTTATAAACGCTGGTTATATTTTCTACTTTTGGTTGATTGTTTGTTGGATGAAGAACAAATAACTCGGTTCAACTTTCACTGATGAACAGAAACCTATTTTTTAATCGCACATTTTCTATTTTAAAAACCATATTTACTGGATTTAAAGTGGATCATATCGATGGAAAACAATGATAATTAATATTTAAAACAGGTTGTTGCTGAGGAAAAACACGGGGACTTTTTATATTCACAGTTTTTTTAATTAAATTTGGCTTTTTGGATCTCGGGAGGTTGTTGCGTAAAAGACTCGTTTCAGCTCAGGTAATAACAAAACGCATCAGCAACTAAACTGCGCAGTGAATCTTGATTTGATGGTTTATTAAAAGGAGTTTGGTGGAGTTGGAGCCTGAAGCAACAGACTGTTAGGTACTCACATCCAGCTCGACCTGCAGCACAGCGGACACACGGACACCAGCAGCAGGCTCAGGGTGCACATGCGTCGGACTCCACAGCTCCGAGTCTCCATGTCCTCTTCATGTGTCTCCGGGCTGCGCTCCGAGTCTGTCCATCAGCAGCCTCTGTCTCATACTCACCCGGGCCAGGAGCGGGTTACTGACCCGGGTCTGGATGATCCGAGCCGCTCTGACTGATGAAAATGACGATAAGGAAGAAGATGAAGATCCTCTATAATGTGATCTCCCTCCTCTTCTGACTCGGGGCTGCAGGATCACAAGCTGGACTCACTGGACCCGGAGGAGCCTCATTTGATGATCAGCATATTGAGCTGACGACGTCACAGCTGAACGGTGATTGGGCGGCCTGAAGCAGCAGATGGTTTTACATGTTCATGAGTCGATGTTTTACTCGTCATGAGAAACTGTTTTTTTTTTTTATGGAGTTCGGTGTAAAGTAAGGTTGTCAACATTTTCTATACTTGGATATTTTTTCCGAAACAATACAAGCTGACATCAAAATGTGAAGCTTAAAAAACAACACATCATAGGACAGGTGTGTAGGAGAGGAATTAATCCATCAAAAATTGCAGACAAACTTCTGCACATTATCGAAATTGCACAAAAAACTGTTAACAATCCCCTACTAGGTTTACAAAACTTTTTTACAAACACTGTAAAGACTTGAAGATAAAAACAAGAGGCAGTGCTGGTGATAACGTTTTATAAAATACTTTGTATGGTGGAGATTTATAAAATGCAGAAAGGCACAGTTATTGTAATAAATGCTGAAATTGTGAATGTTTAAAGTAAAAACAGATTTTAAAGTGAGATGATGCAGACTAACAAACATTCATGTCATAACCAAAAAGACAAAGTGAAACAAAAATCTGATTTTATGTCTTCAAAGTTGGATAATTAATTAATCACGTGGAGGAAAAAAAACATAACATTCATATAAATGCATGTAAACATGTTCAGAGGCACATCTGTAGAAAAATATAGAAAATACAAGCAGAGGAACAAATAAGACGTTTCTTCCTCATGATAATCAGTTATCATGGAGTCTTTGGTTTACATCATCTGATATACACAATAGTACGACTGAGGTATATAAATATACATATATCTGTATTATATATGCAAAGAGACATACAGGTTGAGAGAGAGAGAGAGAACAGCTTCAGTCCGACATTAAAGTTCAAATATGAGATATAAACATCTGATGTGACGGAGCACTGATACAGAAAACTAAAACTATACGGTGAATATCTCTGGTGAGCTCAAAATAAATAGTTTGTTCACACCAGAAAAGTTTATCACGGCTAATAAATGTGCTCTGAAACTACTCACTGCACCTTAGAAACTGGTGGAGCCATTAAAGCTACTTATTACTACTTTAATACTTATTAGCATGGCAGGCTAAACTAGCCAGCTAGCAAACTAGCTCATTAATGCCCAAACATTTGATGTACGATAAAAAACATCAGCTGCACAAAACACTGAAGCTCAGTCACTCATTAAACTGTGTGCATAATTAATTATCTATAGCAAGGTAACAGCTAATGTACAATATAAACTAGCTTGTGCGCTAATTAGTACACATTACAGATAAATACCGTGTATGCAAAAGAAGCTAGTTAGTAGCCTACAAAATGCCCATTACACACTGATTTGCACGTAATATAGTATAAGTTATAATAAGTTCACATTATAAACTAATTTAGTATAGAGTAGTTAACGCTAACGATAAAATAATACACATAAACAAGTTAGCTTATATTTTAACCTGGCTAATACATACAATTAACTAGTTATTCCACAAAATAAACTACTTAGTACACAGAATTATGGCATGCATTATAAAATAATACACATTATAAACTGGTTAGTTCACATTATAACCTAGCTAGTACATATTATAGACGAGCTGATGAAGAGTAGAAAGCAGCTGGGTTTCCTTTGAAGCTAACTTTAATAACTAGCTTCACTTGCAGCTAACAGGCAGGTTATAAGTAGAGCTGAAGGGCAGTAAAGTCAGTGGGTTCAGATCCTATTAGTGAGCAGTGAGCAGCTGATGGTTCATTGATAAAAACAGGGAAGAGTTTCTGTTGAGATTATGAAACAAGTTTGAGTTCATTTAAAATCTGCACATAAGAAGATGTAGCTGAAGCTCGTGCATGACGTTGTTTTCTCTCTCTTAGTGATTAGAACAGTGAATGTTTCAGCTTGGGCCTTAAAAATACAAAAATAATCATTTTAATAAGTCACACCTCTGTGATCTCTTGGACAGTCTTTTTCTATTCTCCTTCATGTTTTCACTCTGCTGCAGAGGAGACAGTCCACACACACACACACACACACACACACACACACACACACACAGACGTTCAGTTTCTGGTTTTGGGACACAGGCGGCTCAGCAGGATCTCAGAGTAAACCTGGTTCACTGGTCCTCTCACGTGATAGGATGAGGCCTTAGGCCACGCCTCCTGGAGCGTGTCCAGCTCTGCTGAATGGCTGCTGAGTGCAGTCCCTGTGGATCTGCTTCTGTTTGTTGAGCTTGTTGTGTTTTCTGAGAAGCCGGAGGACTCGACCTTCTCCACCTGTGAGAGCAGAAGAAGACACAAACCTGGTTCAATATTTGTTGACAATGATCAGAAGTTTAAAAATTAAAGGTTGACAAAATATAAAAGAAGTTCTCTAGTTTGTTCCACATGCCTGAATCGTGAAGAAAACTTTTCTTTTCTGTTGTTGAAAGCTTTGATGAACATTTGTGTATCATCTGCGTAAAGCATTTATAAACAAACAACAAGAGGACCCAGAATGATTCTTTGAGGAACACCATGATCATAAATAAATAACACAACTTAAATCACAAATTGTTCATCTGTAAATCAGGATAAAGAGTTTTTACATCCTGAAGAAATCATCGTCAGATCATAAATTCTCTATTATTAATCCCATTTGGTCATTTTTATGTCACAGAAAACTCTGAGGTTTAATTATCTTTTTATTTACTATACAAATATAAAGCTGTGTTACCTCATGAAAGTGGCAGGCACACCGTCCCTGCAGGAACTCTTTGTACCGACCCATCGTGATGCTGAATGTGTCGATCACCTCGTACCCATGATGCTTTGCTGTGGTGATGATGTCACTGTTCTCTCTGTAGCGCTGCTGAATTTCTTTCTGAAGGATCAGACACCAAAAGTAGAAACAATAACAAACAAACAAAGCATCCAGGTGAAAGGATCATGTGATGCAAAGAGCAGACAGTAAAGAGGAATAAAACTTATCTGTCCTCATAAAAAAACAGAAACATACCAGACTGAGAGAGCGGATCCCGTCAACGGGAAGATGGAAACCCATCCCCAAAGATTTCACCACAACCAGGATATCACTCAGAGACTCTCTGTGGAGAATAAACACTATTACCGTGTTGTCAGGGTTACTACAACACTGACTTTGACAATGGTAGGTTGAGGCAATAAATTAAAAAGTCAAATTGAAAATGAAGATCAGAACAGGTATACCACAGGGCTCCATGTTGGGTCCTCTTGTTATTGGGCTTCAGGTGGATGTAAACCTGCATGCTGATGATACAGTTTGGCTGTCTTTATTGTTATATTATTACATGTTACTGCTTACCTGTTCAGCACTTCCTTGACCGTCCTCAGGTGATCCGTGTTGAGCCACTGGACTCCGCCCACCACCAGGACGGTCATGTTGGAGTTCACCAGAGGTCGTGACCTTCAGAGAAGAGAGCCATCAGCACATAAACATCCTATTACCTTTGGTTAATATCACACCTGTGTGCTCACCTGTGGATGACCTGCAGCAGAGCCTGTCTGAAGGTGGGCCTGTGGCTCTTCTCCAACCAGAACTGAGGATAGTACGAATAGCTCACTTGGCTCCGCCCACCGTTCAGGTTCCTGTACAGCAGCAGGTCGTGAGCCTTCCCCCAGTCCTCCAGACTCGAGTTCACCCGCTCCAGCAGGTAGTACATCATCCCCCGATTGGTTGAGTCACCAATAAACATCACCTGAGGAGAGAGAGACAGGTGATACACGCCAACCATCAGGACACCTGTACTTGATTTTATTTTATATCCAGAAGGAAGAATGAGGAGCGAGAGAGAGAACGATGACCGAGGACAGGTGTCTTTGATCACCTGGGCTCACCTTCCTGTCTGTCATGCAGTCCTGCAGTAGGGGGCGCTCAACCAACGGGTGATAACAGCCGTCTGGTTGCCAGGCAACCTCCCTCCAATCACATGTCCTGTTGTCAGAACAGCTGAGACAAGGAACCACCCACCGACCTGATGCAGGTAGGACAGACAGGTGAGGCAGACAGGTGAGACAGACAGGTGAGACAGACAGGTGAGACAGACAGGTGAGATGGACAGTAGGATAGATGTGATTATTAAAAGATAACCAGTGATTATATTCAGGATTGTTCTATTAGGTTTTAAATCTGACAGCTTTGAAAACACCTGTTGACAGGTGAGAAACAGTAAGTGACATCAGACCTGGTTGGTGACCTGAGCTGCAGGTTACAGGTGGACTCGTAGACTGGATGAACGGCTGCAGACCACAGGAGCGACTCGGCTCGACCCTCAGACCACAGTCCTGAAAGACAGAGAACGGACATATTTCCCATAATGCATCAGGAGCATAGTGTGGTCGGACATTGGAAACAGGGCTGTGTTTCTTTTTTATTCTAACTGCAGTCAGATATCTTCTTTTTCACTTTCTGTCCTCCTCCTCTAAAGTCCTTCTCTTCTTTTACTCTCACTTTAAATCAAAGCCTTCTCCTTCTTCTCCTTCTTCTCTTTTGTGTGAGCGTCGTTCCGTCGTCCTCCTTTGGTCAGAGGTCAGAGGTCAAACAAACCGACCGGATCGGGCCCCGTGGGAGCCGCGACGTCTGGCCCCGACATCAGAGCGGGCCGCCTCGTGCACACACACGTCCCCACAAACACACACTCTCTTCTTCTTCTCCTGCTGCAGGTTTCGGCGTGGCGGCGTCACATTCTGCACGGTGGCGTCGCAGCTCGCAACAAAGTGAGACAAGAAAACTTAACAGGGATTTTCTTGTTCGTACCTGAGCTCAGTGTCAACTCTGCAACACACACACACACACGTACACACACACACATAAAGAATAACAACAAACACACCGCTGCCTTTCATCCCTCATCCTCATCCAGAGAGAGAGAGAGAGAGAGGTGCCACGTCGACACACACACACCTCTTTTGTGTTTAAACTGCGTGAGCGTGTGTGTGTGTGTTTGTTGTGTTTACACGTCTTATGAGGACATGAGGAAAATGAGCGTTTTAAATTTGTACTAATATTAATTGGATTTTATAAAGTTAGTATAAAGTCTCTCTCTCTCTCTCTCTCCCTCCCTCTCTCTGTCTGTCTGTCTCTCTCTCTCTCTCTCTCTCTCTCTTTCTCTCCCCCATCACACCAGTACAACACTAACGCCCTGATGAAGGTCATTAGGCTGAAACACCTCAGCGTCTTTTCCTTCTTTTGTCTTACCTTTCCACACAAGTGTGCCTGTAACCGCTTCAGAGACCGCTCCACTACCAAACGGAGGTAAGCGGGTCTACTGCTATTTTTTTTCTGCTATTTGTCCCTACTGCAGCACGCCTTGTATTACTCAACATTACAGCTTCCTTTCCTAGTCCATACCATTCTCTACAGAATCACATTTTTGATTTAAAGAAGTTTTTTTTCATGTTTGCTTTTAAGACGCAAAATTCAATCCGAACATTTTCACAAATTGAAACAAATGTAAATACATTAAAGTTTAAAGATGTGGACTGTTGTACTCTGCAGAGATATTAAAGGACTCTGGACTCTACCTCTCTCCTGTTGTACAGTATCTCCCTTTTTAGTTTTTTGTACAGATTATATTTTCTTAATTGTAATTCATTTATTTTTTTCTCCTCTCTTATGTTTATATTGCTCTTCTATTTTTATACTTTCAGTTTTTTTGGTTAATCTGACTCTGGGTGAAATGTTCCTGTGCAGGACAGTACAGTTAAGTTTCCTGGATTTAAAGTTAAAGACCGAGTGTGGCGTTGATGTGTTTGTTTTAAATCAGTATTTTTTACAGTGCAGACTCTCGGTCTGCAGATTTATCCACGGCAGAACACAAAATCCTCTTTGATATCATCTCTGTTTATTCTGTAAAAAACACCGTCTGCTGTGAGTGTTATTCACTACAACACACAAATACAAAAGCTTAACTTTATAAAATGACACATTCATGTTTCTCTGTGTTTTTAACCGTTCAGCTCATGTAAAAACAGACTCGGTGTGTGCAGAGGTTATCTATCCAAGTTATCTGAAGTTGTTTGAGGTGAACCTGCAGAGACCGGATCATCATCAGGGTTTAAGGAGGATTCAGAGGGTCAGGACTGAAGGAAAGTCTGATCCTCAAACACAGACATGAAGACATTTCATCACGACGCTCAGAGCTGCTGCGGAGACTGAAAGTAATAAAGATAAATGTTTGAAGCACTGAAGAAGAAGCAGAACTAAAACTATAATCCTGTCAGGTTATTAAAAAACCAGCACGAGGACTCTGAGAGAGACGCTCACAGCACACACACACACAACAACGTATATATTTAAAGTTAGATTACATCAGCTGATACTAGCCTCCATAATATTACAAGCTAACCTGGAGTAAACTCACTTCACCTTGATGTTTAATATTCATTCATTTAAATGATTGACATGTGATCAAACTTTTGTTTTCTGTTGTTGAAAGATTTTATGAATATTTGTGTATCATCTGCGTAAAACATTTATAAACAAACAACAAGAGGACCCAGAATGATTCTTTGAGGAACACCATGATCATAAATAAATAATATAATTTTAATCACAAATTGTTCATCTGTAAATCAGGATAAAGAGTTTTTACATCCTGAAGAAATCATCGTCAAATCATAAATTCTCTATTATTAATCACATTTTTATGTCACAGAAAACTCTGAGGTTTAATTATCTTTTTGTTTACTATATAAATATAAAGTTGTGTTACCTCATGAAAGTAGCAGGCACACCGTCGCTGCAGAACACCTGTGTGTGTTTCTACCTGTCCTCTGTCTTTAATCTTCCCATGGACAAACTTCAAAGAGCAGACCCCACCCTGAGTATCAATGAACCCTTCTGTTCACCAGGGACCCCACACCAGGGGCCCCACAGCATGACCGAACCCCCGCCCTTCATCCACCTGAGAGGGAGTGAGGCCCACAGGTGTGTCAGAGCACAGGTGAGGAGGGCAATATCAGACAGAGAACGCATTCAGCACCAACGAAGAAGAACCTGACAGGATCACTCTTATGCTGCAGATTCAAACAAACCTTCAGACATGTCTGATAGTATGGAGGGCGGGGCTACCTGAGATTCACAGGTAGATACCATGGTGACCTAATCATCGTCTTGTACAACGTGAGGTTGTTCTCAAAGATCCTGGGAGGAGTCAACTGTTGAATATTTTATTTAAATCCTGTTTTTAGCTTCCAGTAATATCACAGGTACTATGACTTACAGGTGTGCTATGCTATCAAGCCAATAGCAGAGCAGCTAACCTACCTGCAGGAAGCTGCAGGTCACATGATCTCCGAACATGGGCAGACTGGGCTGGCTTTCACGGTACACATGCACGGTGTAGATCGTCATGACGACGGGCTCCGTCTCAGCATCGTCTGTCACCAGGATGCTGATCCGGCTGTTGCCGAGGCCGACCGGGTAGTTCGCCATCCTGAAGAAGAATAAAAAAAAAAAAAGTTAACCTGAGCTGTGAGGTCAGAGGTCAGGGGTCAGAGGTCAGAGGTCAGAGGTTTAGGGGTATGGTCTCACCTGGGCCCTCCGTGCTCATCAAGGTGGACCCGACACGCAGAGCTGACGGGCTCAGGACGGATTCTAACGGTCACTGTGTCAAAGGTCACCTCGGCACGATACTCCTTCAAGGTGGGGTTAAAGGGCGGAGTCAGAGTGAGGGGCGGGTCCGTGTAGATCTGTCTCAGGTGAGGGTCCACACAGGAGCCTGAAGCACACACACACACACACACACACACACACACACACACACACACACACACACACACACACACACACACAGGTTATTTTTAGTGACTAAATTAGCTGAGGTGAAAGCTTAGCAGACAGTTAGCAACTCCCCCATAAATCAAAGAGGCCACGCCCCTAATTCTACATAAATGTAATCCTTAAAATAATGTAAACAGGTGAGTTATGTAAACAATTCATCCCGTACAGATGTCATGAAGAGTATTTTTGTTTTTGTACCAGGCCGTAAACATGTTTATTTATACTATATGTTAACATGGGGCTCTATGGGGACTGACTCACTACAGGAGACAGCCTCTAGTGGACACTGGAGGAACTGCAGGTTTTAGAACAGGCAGTCAACATGTTTATTTCTGCTGTAAAGTTTGAGTCTCAGATCTTATTCCCATTCATTTTGTGACACAGGTTGAGGAAGAGTCTCACCTTCGTCATGCAAAGTCGACAGAGCTGACTCCTGATTGGTCGGATTTTCTGCCTCATCAGTTCTGTATGAAACACGAAAACATAAACAAACATTAAGAAGAACAATAACAGCTGATGAGACAGATGATTGCTGTTTACAGATTCACAGACTGACCCGAGGCTTTGATTTCTCTGGAGCTCGTAGAGTCGAACGATACTTATCAGAAGATCTGAGACGCTGAGAGGAGGAGGCGGGGAGGAGGAGGAAGAGGAGGAAGAGGAGGAGGAGGAGGAGGAGGAGGAAGAGGAGGAGGAGGAGGTGGAGGAGAGGCTGGGGTACAGCTACAACAAGAGAGAGAATAATTCTGTTTCAATATCAAACCAAAAATTTAAAACACAGACATACACTACTCTGCACTGCTTTGTGCTGAAATATATATTTTTGTATTTACCAGGTGAAAAGCTGAGGGTGTTTTAATCTGCTGCTGAAACTGTAGAAGAAGAAGAAACTCTTCTTCTGTCAAACAGACGCCCAGTGTCCCTCTGCAGCCACCGTACTGACACAGAGACACAGAGACAGCATGCACGGTTAACTGAATGATTTATCAATTCATTTATTCAGTATTACACTGTTTGGTTTCAGACTCACCTGTCTCCCTTCTGTCTGCGTCTCTGAGGACAGGTGTGTGTGTGAGGACAGCAGGAAGTGCAGTGTGTCCTCCAGGATCAGGTCTTTGGTGATCTGTCTGTCAAAGGTGTCATCACTCAGAGAAGAAACATTCAGATCAACGTCTACCTGAAAAAAAAACACACAAAGAAAACATCAGACCGACCAATCACAGAGCAGCTGAGGAGACACTGCCCTCTGCTGGACGATTATTGTCAGTGCACCTGAAGGAGGAAAAACTGATCCAACAGCTGACAGAGAGAGGGGGTCTGTCTCTCACCTGTCTGCCTGTCTCTCACCTGTCTGCCTGTCTCTCACCTGTCTGCCTGTCTCTCACCTGTCTGCCTGTCTCTGTGTGTGATCACAGGTAGGCTCTGAACAGACCGTGTACTGTTCCCAATGGGTTCATACAAAGGTCACCGATTACATCATCATCAAAGAGTCTTTATGAGAGTGGTGTTTTCAAAATAAAAGCCTTCCCCGTTGGATGATAGCTGTGTGTTTACAGTGATTAAAGTGATGAAGAGGAGTCGCTGTGATGATGACGAAGGCTCGGCTTCTGAGTTGTCCACCTGCACAACAACGGTTCTCAAACTGAGGCCTGTGACCCCTCAGGTAGGACGCAGCGTGATGAACAAAGTACAGGACAAACATTTCTGCTGAATGAAACATTAACTGTTTTAATTAAATATCAGAGGTCTGAAAATGTTCACATCAATAATCTGAGAGGATAATAAACACTCACTGAGCAGCAAAGATGTGATGTCTCACTCTGTGTTAAATATCTGCACAGACGGTCAGATTAAAAGAAGGTGTGAGGCTCCTGAACGCATCATGTATAAACTCTTACCTGGACCACGACAGGTGTGACCGAGCCGCTGAACTGCAGAGTGAAGGTCATCAGCTGGTAGCACAACACACACCTGAAACACACACTCTGCATTTAATAATAATAAAAATAAATCAATTTATCTATTAATATGATCCTTAAAAAACAAGCCGAGACATTTAAAGGATGTAAAACATAGACTCTGACGTTTCTGTTACCTGTTGAGTGTTTCTTTCTCCTGATTGGTCGACAGGGCCGCCTGCAGCACCTCACCTATCACCCTCTTCACCTGCCCCAAAGCATCATGGGAAGTGTTTGGTCCTAACTGCTGCAGCAGGAAGTCGCTGAGCTGAGAGAGGAGGAGGAGGAGAGATGAGATCTTAGAGTTTAACCAGCAGGGGGCAGCAGAGGCTCAAACAGAGAATTGATTTCTTCAGTAAAAAAAAGTCGGGCTGAGTTTTAATGATTGAGATTTACCTTTAAGGCCCGCCCCCTCTGCTCCTGATTGGTCATCACAACGCTGATGGCATGCATGAAGGAAATGAGCGGGTTCACTGATGTCACCAGGACGTAAACATTCACCATGGCAACCAGAGCAGGAGGTGGGGCTTCGACAGGTGAGTCACTGACAGACGATGAAGAAACATGAAAACTACAGAACAGGTGAGTTTACCTGCAGGTCACAGACTGATGCTCACCTGTCCACAACCTCCTGAGGAACCTGCAGCTTCTGATTGGTCAATCCACAGGAGTGAGGCCTCATGGGTAATTCTGACCCTGAGAGGTGAAGCAGAGACAGGTACGTCAGTTTGCAGGAGGTCCCCTTACCTGTCTCTACGCCTTATTTACACACACCTGCTCAGGTGACCTTTGACCTGTTTGCTATGTGACCCACCTGTCAGGTACGAGCGAGCGAGGAAGTGACAGAGGCCTGCCCCTGCATCGGAGAACGCCTCCATCAGCTCAGGAAGCAGGTTCACCTGAGGAAAAAGCAGGCAGACAGGTGAGTAACCATGGTAACTTCCAACCTGCCTCTGATTGGCTGCAGCACCTGTACAGGTGAGTCTCACCGTCTGATGGAGCTGCAGGCGAGAGAAGGAGATCCTCCTCAGACAGCTGCTCTCTGCGGAGCTGAGACACAGTAACAGGCTCCACCCACCCACACCTGTAACCATGGAAACACAGAGAGAAGACATTAAACCTGTAACCATGGAGACAGACAGGAAGTTACACCTGTATCCATGGAGACACAGAGATGGAGTAAGCCCTGTAACCATGGAGACATGGAGAAGACATTAAACCTGTAACCATGGAGACACAGAGAGAGGACATTAAACCTGTAACCATGGAGACACAGAGAGGACATTAAACCTGTAACCATGGAGACACAGAGATGGAGTAAGCCCTGTAACCATGGAAACACACCTGTTACCATGGAGATAGAGACAAAAAAAATACAATGCAATTTTAGTTTTAAAATGTCTAAATGTTAAAGGTTTAACGGTTTACCTGTCCAGGTGAAAAACACAATATTTCAGTGAAATGACTGAGTTGAGAATGAATCTATTTGAACTCCTCCTGCAGTTTAGACGGTGTGCAGGAGTTTGCTGGCCGCGGTATCAAACGGGTGTCGATATCATTTGAAGATTAAAAGGTGGTAACAACATGACATCAAACGGAGCCTCTCACAGTTTAAAGTTTCTGTTGTTTCACTTAGAAACATGTGAAGCTCAGAGAAATCTTTATTTTCTCTGGGATGAGGACGGAAACTGTAGACTGAACAAATACAGAAGAAAAGAGAGAGAGAGGGGGGAGGAGGAAGCGGGAGGAGGAGGGAGGAGGGGGAGGAGGGGGGGGGGGACAGGAAGCGCTGAGTCCAAACATGGAGTCCAACAGAAACATGTGTTTGTGATTGTGGAGCTCACAGGAAATGTTGGGCTGTGACTCTCTGAGGTTTTATAAAATCTGTTTATCCCAATAAGGACTTTATTATCCTCTACTTGAACACTTTATATAACACACACACACACACACACACACACACACACACACACACACACACACACACACACACACACACACACACACACACACACACACACACACAGATTCAGACACTTTGGAGGGTAAGAAGGTTTACGGTTTAGTTTTAAAAGTAGAGGCGGTTATGATGGCGTTCAGGTCAGAGCAGGAAGTGGGGCCTCCGACTAACACACCTCCACCTGATGACCGGGGTCACGAGAGGTCAGATTGGGACGAGTAATGGATTAAATAAAAGTGATTCTGTATTGAAAGGGGAGCCGGTGAAGTGAACAGCTCTCTGCAGTAATCGATATTTAAATGTATTTTAATGTCTCTGATCTGTCTGGGTGTTCGTTTCTTTAAATCTGAGCAGCTGCTGCTGTTTGAAGTTTATGGAGCTCATAAAACATGTTAGTATGTCTGTCTCTTCTTCACCTGCTGGTACAAACATTAGGCCCCGCCCCCCTGCTGTGCTCTGATCAGGACAGATGCTGCTGTCAGTCATCTCGCACACCTAGCATTAGCATGCTAACACAACAAAGCAGGACAGGTGATTAGAGCTCGAGACAAGGACAATTTTTTCCAACGCTGTCGCTTCATGGTGCTTTATGGAGAGTTGTATTTGTGTGAACATCGTGAGTGCAGAGGGCCGACATCCACTGGATCAAAAAGTCACACATTCTTCCTTTAAAGAATACATTTTATTTTTTTAATTAAGATATTTGGAACTACAGTTCCCACCATGCATTGGGGATACAAGAAGCTGAAAATAGCTGCATGAGCTCTACTTCTGCTTCATCCTCCATTCTCATATTTCTTCGGTTTATGTTCAACATTTATGTATTTAAATGAATAATAAAGATAATTTAAAGTGTTTATATAGAACCTCTGTCAGTCTGCTGACAAACTGTGTCCTGTTTGTTCTGCAGCTGCTCTGTTAGTCCAACAGGAAGTCTCCACCCAACACACACACACACACACACACACACACACACACACACACACACACACACACACACACACACACACACACACACACATTAGTGAGTGTTTATGTGTTCCTCGCTGCAGTCTGACTTCACACTCTCACAGCTGAGCTCCTCAGAACGCTGATTCCTTCCTCTAATAACTTTATTAATATTAGTAAACAAACAAGATGAGGATCTGTTCAGACTGCTGCAGACAGTGCTGAGAGGATCTTTACATCAGAGCGTCCTCTAGTGGACAAACTACGACATGACACATTTATAAACCAGCTTACTGTTTTACATTTTCTGTAAATTCAAAAACACTTGACAATGTCATACATTTATGGAGATCTTCATACTGTGTGTGCATGTTGTCACAGCGCCCCCCTCAGGTTAAAAAGTGTATTGTTATAGCGCCCCCCTCAGGATAAAGAGTGTATTGTCACAGCGCCCCCCTCAGGTTAAAAAGTGTATTGTTATAGCGCCCCCCTCAGGTTAAAGAGTGTATTGTCACAGCGCCCCCCTCAGGATAAAGAGTGTATTGTTATAGCGACCCCTCAGGTTAAAAAGTGTATTGTCACAGCGCCCCCCTCAGGATAAAGAGTGTATTGTTATAGCGCCCCCCTCAGGATAAAGAGTGTATTGTTATATCGCCCCCCTCAGGATAAAGAGTGTATTGTTATAGCGCCCCCCTCAGGTTAAAGAGTGTATTGTTATAGCGCCCCCCTCAGGATAAAGAGTGTATTGTTATATCGCCCCCCTCAGGATAAAGAGTGTATTGTTATAGCGCCCCCCTCAGGATAAAGAGTGTATTGTTATAGCGCCCCCCTCAGGATAAAGAGTGTATTGTTATAGCGCCCCCCTCAGGATAAAGAGTGTATTGTTATAGCGCCCCCCTCAGGATAAAGAGTGTATTGTTATAGCGCCCCCCTCAGGTTAAAGAGTGTATTGTTATAGCGCCCCCCTCAGGTTAAAGAGTGTATTGTTATAGCGCCCCCCTCAGGTTAAAGAGTGTATTGTTATAGCGCCCCCCTCAGGATAAAGAGTGTATTGTTATATCGCCCCCCTCAGGATAAAGAGTGTTTTTATAGCGCCCCCCTCAGGATAAAGAGTGTATTGTTATAGCGCCCCCCTCAGGTTAAAGAGTGTATTGTTATAGCGCCCCCCTCAGGATAAAGAGTGTATTGTTATAGCGCCCCCTCAGGTTAAAGAGTGTATTGTTATAGCGCCCCCTCAGGATAAAGAGTGTATTGTTACAGCGCCCCCCTCAGGATAAAGAGTGTATTGTTATAGCGCCCCCCTCAGGTTAAAGAGTGTATTGTTATAGCGCCCCCCTCAGGATAAAGAGTGTATTGTTACAGCGCCCCCTCAGGATAAAGAGTGTATTGTTATAGCGCCCCCCTCAGGTTAAAGAGTGTATTGTTATATCGCCCCCCTCAGGATAAAGAGTGTATTGTTACAGCGCCCCCCTCAGGATAAAGAGTGTATTGTTATAGCGCCCCCCTCAGGTTAAAGAGTGTATTGTTATAGCGCCCCCCTCAGGATAAAGAGTGTATTGTTACAGCGCCCCCCTCAGGATAAAGAGTGTATTGTTATAGCGCCCCCTCAGGATAAAGAGTGTATTGTTATATCGCCCCCTCAGGATAAAGAGTGTATTGTTATAGCGCCCCCTCAGGATAAAGAGTGTATTGTTATAGCGCCCCCTCAGGATAAAGAGTGTATTGTTACAGCGCCCCCCTCAGGATAAAGAGTGTATTGTTATATCGCCCCCCTCAGGATAAAGAGTGTATTGTTATATCGCCCCCCTCAGGATAAAGAGTGTATTGTTATATCGCCCCCTCAGGATAAAGAGTGTATTGTTACATCGCCCCCCTCAGGTTAAAGAGTGTATTGTTATATCGCCCCCCTCAGGATAAAGAGTGTATTGTTATATCGCCCCCCTCAGGATAAAGAGTGTATTGTTATAGCGCCCCCCTCAGGATAAAGAGTGTATTGTCACAGCGCCCCCCTCAGGTTAAAGAGTGTATTGTTATATCGCCCCCCTCAGGATAAAGAGTGTATTGTTATAGCGCCCCCCTCAGTTCAATCAGTGAACTCTCACCGGTGTTTAGTCGTAGCGAGCTGCTCGTCTCGGCGTAGCGTGATCTCTGGACCTGGTAGTCGAGCTGCTGCAGGACTCGTTGGTACAGCTGGATCTCGGTGTCAGAGCTCGAGTGACGACCCGTCAGAACCACGACCCTACGCCGACGGGGGGGCGACTCAGACCGGACCTGGACCAGAAGAGGGGGGGACACAGACACACCTTCAGATCAGTGTCTGAAACAAACAGAACTCAGAGACAGCTGGAGGTCGTTAGCCTAGCTTAGCACAAACAATGGAAACAGAGGGAAACTGCTAGCCTGTTCTATGCTAGGCAGGAATAGCTAACATATCAAACACGCCTGATGTTATCAGTTTAGTTCCCATGTGAACTCTTCTTCTAGTGTTTTTAAAAGAGTAGAGGCTCTGTGAGTGTTTCCATTTGAGGTCAGACTTCAAAGATGTTCTATAAAAACAGACGCTCTCCTCCTCACACTGTTTTTATCTCTGATCCTCTGCAGCTGGACTCAACTGTCAAACACTACTGAACACAAACATTTGGTCCAATCAGCCGCCGTACATCGCACACATTCACTGTGATAATAAAAATAAACATGGCAGCTAATCTTTCACCTGTGTGTGTGTGTGTGTGTGTGTGTGTGTGTGTGTGTGTGTGTGTGTGTGTAAAATAACTGAAACATGAAAGATTTCAACAAATTAATAATTGAATGTTTCTTTCTGACAGAGAAGATGTGACATTGCCACTTGAGTATAACATGTCAGTGTGTTCGTGTGTGTGTGTGTGTGTGTGTGTGTGTGTGTGTGTGTGTGTGTGTGTTTTAAATAGGTGTACTGAACCTTTAAAGCCCTTTTTGCTGACAGAAGCAGAAACATGAACCTCAGTTATTTAAA